CCCAGCAGCCCTGTTTCGGGTGACCCGGACCCTCCTCGGAGGGAGTAATTCAGGGGTCTAGCTTCAGGGCCGTTGTGAGGAACACGCTGAGCATCTGGCAGGGAAAGTCACTCGCATCCGCTCTGCATTGAATGCCAGCCTTGATGCAAGGCCAGTGGGGGCTATGGGGGCTGAGTCTTGCCGTGTTATCTGGGAGGAGTTCAAGCCTGTTCAACCTGAGGAAGCAGACAGGGTTCTTGTCGCTGTTAGTTCGGGCACTTCTGTGTTAGATCCGTGCGCCTCCTGGCTGGTCAAGGCTGCCCGGGAGAGGACATGTAATTGGGTCTGGGTGGTGGTTAATTCCTCTTTGAGGGAGGGGGTGGTACCGCCAGCTCTTAAGGAGGCGGTGGTACACCCCCTCCTCAAAGGGCTGTCACTCGACCCAACTAATCTGGATAGTTTTCATTCAGTCTCCAACCTCCCCTTTTAGGGAAGGTTGTTGAGAAACTGGTCACACGGCAGCATCAAAGGGCTCTGGATGAAGCGGATTATCTGGACCCCTTTCAGTCAGGATTCAGGCCGGGATATGAGACTGAGACAGCATTGATCACGCTCTCGGGTGATCTCTGGTGGGAGCAGGATGGGGGCAGTGCTTCCATCCTTGCTTTTCTTGACCTCTCGAAGGCCTTCGATACCATCGATCATGGTATCCTTCTGGACTGACTTTGGGAGTTGGGGGTGGGCAGCACTGTGTTGTGCTGGTTCTCCTCCTCCCTCCGGGGTTGGTTCCAGTCGGTGTTGGTAGGAGGGGAGAGGTCCAGTCCACGGCCCCTACTGTGTGGGGTATCACAGGGCTCGGTTCTCTCGCCCCTCTTATTTAACATCTACATTAGACGCTGGGTGAGGTGATCCAACAGTTTGGATGAGGTACCATCAGTATGCTGATGATGCCCAGCTTTGTATCTCTTCCCCGGGCTGTCTGAGCAATGCCATGGATGTCCTATCTCAGTGCCTGGAGGCTGTAGGGGCCTGGATGGGGCGCAATGGGCTTTGGCTCAACCCAAGCAAGACTGAGTGGCTTTGGGTTTTTGGGCCTTCCAGTAAGAAGGTTCTTCCATCTTTGAGTCTGGATGGGGTGATTCTGCCCCAGACAGACTTGGTGTGCAATCTGGGGGTCCTCTTGGACTCACAGCTCCTGCTGGAAGAGCAGGTGGCAACCACAGATAAGAGGGCCTTTGCACACCTTCGGGTTGTGTGTCAGTTGTGCCCATTCCTGGACCTGGAGGCTCTACTCACTGTCACTCATGCCCTCGTGACCTCCCGTTTGGACTACTGCAACGCGCTCTACATGGGGCTGCCCTTGAAGAGCATTCGGAAGCTTTAGCTGGTACAGAATGCAGCTGCCTGGGTTGTAAATAGTGTTGGTTACTTGGCACATATAACACCACTGCTCTGGAAGCTGCACTGGTTGCTGGTGTGTTTCCGGGTGCAGTTCAAGGTGCTGGTTGTCACCTATAAAGCCCTTCATGGCTTGGGACCGGGTTACCTTAGGGACTGTCTTTTCCCCGTTGTTTCTACCCCTCCAATCCGGTCTGGCACGTTGGGGATGCTCCGGGTCCCATCAGCCAAGGAATGTCGGCTGGTGGGGACCAGGAGATGTGCCTTTTCTGCTGTGGCGCCTGCCCTCTGGAATATCCCCCCTCCTGAGATTAGGATGGCCCTGACCCTTTTGGCTTTTTGGAAGGCCTTGAAGACCTGGTTTTATGCCTGGGCCTGGGGCCCCAAGTGTGAAGGGCCCCGCTTCATGGTTGTGCTAATACCGACAGTTTTTTAAGATCTCTTGGCTGCATTTATATTTATATTTAATTTTTTGTACTGTTTTAAATGTTGGCTGTTTTTATTGTTGTTAGCCGCCCAGAGTCACTGGTTTGAGATGGGCGGCTATATAAATTGAATAAATAAATAAAATAAAATAATAAACAAACAAACAAATAAATACAACAAAAGTCAACACTGTCTATTGCTATCCCAGTAAGATGTTATGTTGATACAGCAAGGGCTGAGTTATATAAGGACATGTAGTAAGGGAAAGCTCAGTGTCAACCTCCTCTCTGCTCATATGTTGATTGAATGCCTGGATCTTGTTACTGAAAAATGTCCCTATCTCACTCCTTTGAATGAAAAATAAATTCTTTAGGAGAAAGAACATTATAACTGTCAGTAATATGCTTGAGGAAAAAAAAGAATTTTCCTCCCTCCCTGTAATCATTCTGAGGTTAATTCTGGTAACCTCAGGGGTAAGGCAAGCTTAGGTAATAATCTTTAACATGGTATCATGCAAAAGAATCCTAAATTAAATATGGCCTCCTCTTTTTTGGCTTAGATGGTATGTTAAGACATTGCTCTGTTTGGATTAAGAACAATTCTGACTACCTGAACCAGCAGGACAGGCTTTTTCCTCTTGAAGCAGTGCTTATGAGAAAGTGCGCCATGCTCCTCTGATGTAGTTCTTTCTAATATAGTCAGATGAATCCCAGGTCTCTCTTAAGGCTGCAGTCTCAAAGCCCTACTTCCCAGCAAGAAAACGTTGCCATGATCTTGTGTTTAGGGATGTAGGAAGCTTCCTTATACCAATTTATACATGAGGCATGGGGAACCATGAACTGGCCAGCTGACTACCCCCAATAGCTCATTATCATTCTTCTCTTCAGCCTCTGTCCCTGCCTAAACTCTGATGGGTTTCAGAATCAGAAAAAAAGACCATTTCAGCATCCAGAGCCCCTTATGCAGCTAATGGAGATAAGTTAAACTCAGAAAGGGTCTGGATACCGACAGGAATAATATTTGGATTTTGAAATAGCTCACTAGTTACCTAACTGATTCCAGGCTCAGCTGAAGGTATACATTTATAAAGGTATAAATTGGATATTCCTATACTGGGATTGTTTTGACAGAGAAAACAGAGGTTAGAAATTATATACTTGTCTCTATTCCATATTCTCCATGGCTTAAAATTATGGGAGAGATGGAGGTCTTTCCCATCCCACTAATACAGGAAAACAAAATCAGATAGCAATGGAAGACCTTCTTTACAATATTGGTCAGAATGTGGAATACTCTCCCCTAAGAAGTCCACAATAACCAAGCTTTATTAATATTTTGACACCTGGCTAAGGCCTGTCAATCCCTGTTTGTTTTTTTCCATTTCTATTATTATTAATACTGGTTGTAGAGTAATATTTCATTGTTACTATTTTTTTTACTGTTATTCACCAAATTTATTTTTATGAAATGCAGGCAAAGGGAGGGAGGGAGGGAGAGAGGAAAATCTTACTTTCCATAGTTTCAAAGCTAATAACATTAGCTAGTAAATTTCTTTGCTTACAAGCACTACTATGGTCACCTAGCATGAATTCTCAAATTTTGCCTCTTCAAGCCCCAGTCACCAACATGTTCAGGTTGTAATCTAAAGAGGTCATGTAGATCACTTTGCATTACTTTTACTTCAATTAAAGTGATAGGCAATGCCATGCTATTGCCAGTTTCTGCCACATTGCTTGATTTGTTGAACAGATGTATAACTTAATAGCCAAAAATTGTATTTGTCTTGGAAAATAAAGCTGGTTGCACATGTGAGCTTGGTCATAGTCATATTTATTATGACATACCCTTGCAAAAAATGCTGGAGCCTGAATGTCATCTCTGAATGCACTTGCATTTACAGCAGATGAGATCTTCAAAACTGAAATCTCGCCTATTATTATTTGAATATAGCAACAAAAGCTATTGAATATTACAGTATTAGAAGAAAATGAACCAATTGGTTTGTTAAAAAGGGCTCTTTAATTTTATACTAACCATAACTTTTGAGAACAGCTGCTTCTATTTTAAATGATTAAAGTACTTCTTAATATATCAGTCAACTTTTCTGAGAACTGTAAACATGGATTGCTTAGCTAATTCAAATGACATACATTTTTTAAAAGCAAATGTTTTGCTCAGCCTGAATTAAGAGATTTGGCTATGAAAGCATGGGTCCCATTTTTCCTAGGGAATTATCTCTGAAAATAGTTTTGGAGGCCTACAGCTTGCCAATAGAAGAGAATATATGTAGCTCAGGGCTAAACTGTGGAGTCCTCTGGGTTCTCTGAGCTTGGTTGTTTTCTTACAAACATTTTGTTACCTGGGTAGGTAACATCTTCAGTGCTAGAATGGAGTGTGGTTTGCTCTCTGTTTATATACATTAGCTTGCCCTGCCAGTGTTGGTGGGGTGGGTTGTTTTTTTTTATACTCTTGGTAGTTCCTTGATTAGGATATTGTTTACTGCTTGATTGTTTGTCTGGTAATCTTGGTGTTAATCACTGCTTATTTGGATGATGATTGCTAACAAGGAGATGTTCTGGTCTTTTTGTTTCCTTTTTATCGTCTCTTCTGAATAGTGTGTAGATGTTGTTTATCTCTATGTGCCTGTTGATGGCTGCCTTGTCTGAATACCAAGCTTCCAGGAATTCCCTCTGTTCTGGTCTTTTTGTTTCCTTTTTATCGTCTCTTCTGAATAGTGTGTAGATGTTGTTTATCTCTATTGTTCTGGTCTTTTTGTTTCCTTTTTATCGTCTCTTCTGAATAGTGTGTAGATGTTGTTTATCTCTATGTGCCTGTTGATGGCTGCCTTGTCTGAATACCAAGCTTCCAGGAATTCCCTCGCATTTTTGGATTTAGCTTGGTCTAAGATGCTGACAGTTTCCCAGTTGAAACTATGGTTAAGTCTGGCCATATGTTGTGAGATTAAGGAGTTTTCACTATGTCTTCTGACTGCTAGTTGGTGTTCATGGATGCGCTCTGCAAGCCTTCTGCCTGTTTGTCCTACATAGTGCTTGTTACAGTCCTTACACTGTATGTTGGTTCTTCTTGGGCTACTGGGTCTTTTGGCTTGCTTAAGATGTTTTGGAACATCTAGCAGTCAGAAGACTAAAAGTCAGAAGACCCGATGAAAACTCCTTAATCTCACAACACATGGACAGACTTAACCATAGTTTCAACTGGGAAACTGTCAGCATCTTAGACCAAGCTAAATCCAAAAATGCGAGGGAATTCCTGGAAGCTTGGTATTCAGACAAGGCAGCCATCAACAGGCACATAGAGATAAACAACATCTACACACTATTCAAAAGAGACAATAAAAAGGAAACAAAAGACCAGAACATCTCCTCACCAGCAATCATCACCCAGATAAGCAGAGATTAACAC